TTCCTGGAAACTTCAGTGGAAGCTAAAAATGGAAGTTGCAAAAGAAGACATAATAATTGAATGGGGAAAATAAATGTCGAAGAAATCTTTCCAGAACATGTGAAGTGGTCCTTGGCCTATTACTTCTTCTCTGGCCAAGCAATTTATCCACTATTTGGCAATTCAAAATACATTGTAATTGTTAAAATATATAAATGTTTTATCAAATGCATTTTAAAAATAATTATTATAATGAGTTCAATACAATTTTTTAGTAGGAGTCGGTTTCAGATATTTAGCATATATATATTTATAGATCTAAAACTGTTTTTAGTAAGTAGATGTTTAAATAAAAAAATTTGTGGCTCAATTCCATTTCGATTACAGTTTTATACATAAAAGAAAATAGGTTTAATTGTATATTTATATTTGGTTTTTGGTTGGGTTTCTAGATATGCGCCGATATAATTAAATCATTAAAAATATATATATTAAAAAGCTAAATTAGTAAAAAAAGTTCAAATTTTATTTTGATACTGACTCAAAAGTGTTAATGAGATTTTTTGTTGTAATTTTAAAACTAGAATTCCAATGCTGGTTTCTAAAAATAATTGTTAACTCCAAAAAATGGGTACCTTTCAAATACTTATGTACAATGTCACATTCACTAATAATGAAAATTGTCTAGTGACGTTTAAACATAACCAAAAAATGTAATAAATTGATTTTCTAAGAAGAATCAAATTTCGCTATCCCAACTATAAAAAAGTAGAAAGGAAAACGTCATAAAAAGCAATAGTCTGAATTTGATACCTTCAACGACATTTGCAAATCCAAAGTCATTATTAGTTGTCGTGTAATAAACTTTAAAATTGTGGTCGTATCTTGTGCAGTGCATATAGACAAAAAATTTATACAGCCATATTCAATTATATATACCATTCAAGTGTCTATCAGAACGCAGAACGATGAATACGATGTGTGAATTCACGATTTACGATGATTGCGTCCAAGAAACGTTACAATGTCGCCATCACATATTTTGTATTTTCCAATTTAATTAAAATAATGCGTCCAACAACTTTATAGTGATAAAATTTCGATATTTGGTTAGATGATTCACATGCTTTCACATCTTCACTAAACCCTATTCCCTATAACATATTAACATTCCAAAGTTTTTTCTTAATCAACACTGATGGTACATTTCCTTCATTCTTAATGTGTGTGTCATTTTACAAAACCGTATGGGTGTATCAATTGACAACCTATAATCTCGAAAATGAACTTACAAATATTTTAGAATCGATTTTCCATTCGAGTAACAAACTATATGTGTGAGCCAATCGTGTCTTGGATTTTAGCTCTATTTTTAACATAATTAAAAACTGGTGAAACAACAACAGATGTTTTTCTATAGATTTCGAACACTCGAATTAGATCCGGATCAATGTAAAAATAATCATTTTAAATATTTTCTGTTTCAAAATAATTAAGTACTATATTTTAAGTAAATTGCTATAATATTTCTATCAGAAATACTTAGTTTATTCAAATCAAACATAATTTTAAATTAAATATCAATAGTTTTCTTTTTAACTCGTTTGAAAAGATAGTTAGTATTCATTTTATAAAAATCAAAGACATATGATGTACACACTGAGAAAGGTAAAATGAAAACGCCAGTTATTTTGTTTTTAAAAAGCAGAGATCTCAACTTGATATATTTTCTTATCTATATCATGCAATCCTCATTCCTCAACAACTAATCTATTGGTAAGTTACTAGTCAGTATTAAATAAATATCGGGACTTAGAGTTAGATCCGAAGACACAAAATTCAGAAGACGAAGCATTGGGTACCTTTGTCAATGCCAATGGGCTGTTTCTGTGAAGGGCCCGACCTCTTAATTGGGCAATTTATTTTGCCAACAATAATTGGGCGATTATTCACCATCATATTCAATTTTTTTTTTTATCTCATTATTTTTCTTAACACATTATTTATGTATGAACAATACCACTGGTTCGCTTTATTTTTGTTTTCATCAAAAAACTCTTCAATTACTACTTGTATCAATATGATAATTTTAGTTGCCAATACCGGAAGAATAGAGTTTAATTAAGAATACGGGAATATTTCTTACGCTTAAGAATTCATACATTTAGCCAAGTTTAAAAACGAAAATGTGA